AACTGAAGGATAAGGATGCCCGCATCGCTATGTTGGAGGCGAAGATGGCGGCTCAAGAGGCTGCTAGTAAGGCAGAAAGGAGGCGGAGTGAGAAGATGATGGAGGCGTTCTTGAAGCAATTCCCAGAGCATAACTTCGACGACGACGACGACGAGGAGTAGTTCTTTTTATATCTTGTTTCTGTTTTGAATTTCTGTTTCGAATATTACTTTTTAACATTATCTATATTATGTTTTTATTTGAATTTCAATTTTCAATTTAAAAATTTTAAATTTTAATTTTGAATTTTAATTTTTTAAAAATAAATTTATATTATTTTTTAAAAAATTAAAAATTACGAAATTTCCGAGGAATGATATTCCTCGGAATATTCTGAGGAAAAATTCCTCGGAATCTCCGTCGGAATATTCTCAGGAATACTATCCCTCGGATTATTCCGAGGAATACCTTTCCTCGGAATTTACCGAGAGATTGAAGTCCTCGGAATATTCCGACGGAAGGATTCCTGGGAATATTCCGACTAGTTTATTCCCTCGGAAATTTTCGTTGAAATTCCGACAAACGGTTCCATCGGAAAACATCCTCGGAATGTCCTCGGAATATTGTCCGTCGGAATTTCCTCGGAATATTCCCAGGAAATTCCGACGAAAACTGCGATTCCAAGGAGATTTTTCCGAGGGAAATTTTTTTCGGAATATCGTCGGAATCGCCTGATTCCGACGACATTCCGAGGAAATCGTCCCTAGGAATCGATGTGTTTTCTTGTAGTGAATGTATGGGAAATGTCGCAGAAATTTCGTGGGGTTAATAAGACAACGTGAACACCACAATCTTGCATAGCTAATAACTGACAATATCTGCTAATAATTACCAAAACAATTACCTTAATCCAAGAAATAGCCTCTCTATATCTTCAATCTCGTCTTCTCTGTCATATGAAGTAAAAGGTCTAGTTGATCATTGTGGTTTACAGACAATATATCAATTAATACTTTTGAGAATCGCAAAAAGTAGCTTATACAAGATTGTTGACACAAATATTCAAATTTATTAATAGATAGCAAAACATAATAATATCCAAAAGCGAAGACACACTTTTGTAGTCAGTTCTTAATTCGAAAAGAGAGGAAATTAATGCCACGCAGATTTTCCTAGAAGGCTGGAACAGGATAATGTTTATTCCACAACGATTCTGCTTGTTTTCAATTAATATCAACACTCAGTCTCAAAACATAGTGGATCAGCTCCTATTGGTAGTGTTGTATGAATGATAAGAGAATACCAGAAAACTTAAGATAACATATAACCTCATAACGACATTGAGGTACGAGCATTTTCAATGGCATGGTGGTCAAAGGCCATGTACGTGCCGGTGTGGAGAAATAACCAGTTTTGGAGATAATGGAACATGTGAACAGATGCGTGGATATGAGAATTCTGTCTTAGGTTTTGAGTTCTTGTAAAGAGTTTCTTGAAGAAGAAAACAGAAAGTGTCGTAAGTTATTGAGATATTAATTAATTTTGTTTAATTTGAACACTATTCTCACAGAGCATATACTAAGACATATTTTATTTTGATGGTTGAAAGATTTTAAAGAAAAGACAGACTCTACTAGACTCAATTCAAATCCCAACCTTAATATTCTATATTTTGAGGTGGACAAAAGTAAGGGGCCTTGATTCTATAAGCATAACTTATTATGGAAGAATCAGTAAGCTTGAAAAATGCCACCTCCCTGACATCCAAGATATAGACTTGGTTAGGCCTCACCCCAGGAAAAGAGGTAGCACGGACACAGAATGCTTCAGACTTTGAGATGAAAATGGTGACATCTCCAATGTCTTTAGTGTACACTGCATTTCCATCGTCGTCTACCTTGAACACCATTACAAATTTTGTTTTAAATTTGGTAACTTTTACTTTCAAACTGGTACCGTCCACGGTCTGTCTGAAACACTTGACCAAAAAAGTTTCACCAGTGGATCGAGATTCCACCAAGTGTTCGCTCGTGAAACAGGAATGCATAGTCTCACGTTCAGCTTTGCTCAGCTCGGGAAGGTTGAGATATCGCAACTCCTGAAACTTGGGTGTGTGCTTGTCATCGCAGAGATCCCACGATCCAATGAGTTGGCCTCCAGATCCAAGTATGCGAAACATGGTATGTTTCTTAGAAAACATGACACGGACGGGAGGAGAAGAAGCTAGGGTTCCCAAGAACTTGACAGCCACGACACAATCTTCTTCCTCTGGAGATGGTGAGGACAAGGACACGTTGGTGATGATTTGGGTTTGGCAATGAGGCAAAGTTACAAGAGGAGGCAGCAAGATGGGTTTTGGATTTGCATTAGATGCATTAGATGCAACGCAGAGTGCCTACGTCATGCTTCAAAGAGGCTACCCAGCCATAAGAGGACGCGACTGTAGTTACCGCTGCATCGTTATACACCAACTCGACAGGCGCCTTTTTTATCAATTTAGGAAAATTGCTAGTAGCATATGCAAAACTGAGTTCTACATACTCCGGCCCACAAGGATTGTCGTCACGGACGAAACAAGGAGGGGTTTGCAGCGGGAAAGATGAGAGGCCATCAGAGGCTCTTACCAACACTGGTTTCCGAATGAAGAACTTCGGAGAGTGGCCGAGAAGGAGAGACATGAATGTTCTTAGCTTAAGATAAGCAATAAATTTGAACAAAAAAGAAAAAAAAAGAACCGTCACTCGAGATGTCAGCATTTTCTCCACCTAAATCCTTTTATGAATACAGAACAAGGAACTTGGTCTCCAAGTTTTCCATTAAAATAGATTTAAAAAAACAAAACCATTTAGACAGAATCTTATAACGATGGACAAAATTTTCTTTCCATATTAATAGTTCCCTTTTGTGCTAAATTTATATATTTAACTAGATTTTGACCCGTCATTTGAAAGTACGGGTATATCTTTTATTTTATTTTTAGCAAAAAACTTAATTTTATATTTGTGTTATTTTTAATTATATTTGTGTTATTTGTAATTATAATTGTGTTTAATACTATTTTAATTTAATATAAATTTTTCTAACTATATTAAATATGCCAAGTTGCATAACTATACATTTATGACATATGAATTTCAGAAAATATTTTTAAACTTTATTTCTAAAGTTTACAAAATATTATATTTTCTTATTAGTTACTAACATAATTAGTTAAAAATATTCATAACCAAAAAAACCTGACTCGGAATCGATTCGAAATGGACCCGAAAATCAAAGTCTCATATTTTAATAGATCTGGCCTATATGCTCGAACGTTTCTTAAAGTGTTATATCCGAGAACCCAACCCGTATTCTTAAAAAATGTTTGAAAAAATATTTTTTTTAATATATTCGGTTAAATATATATATATATATGGTTTTTATTAACTTCAAATAAAATCACATTTCTTATTTTTTTAATTGAATTAACTATTTAAAAAACGTTAAACTAAAAAATGAAGAATATATCAAAATAAATAATACGTCCATAATAATATCAAATACATATTAAATATACTGAGAATTTAAATTAGATATTGGCCATATTATTAGGTGCTAAATAGAATATGGTAACGTTAGATGTTATCTTCTAGGGAATTTAGATAAAGTTTTAAAAATACGATGATTGAAGTTATTATTAAATGATGATTTTGATGCTATCACGTACTTTTTCATTTTTATTTAATTTTAGTTTTTGTTTGATTAAATAAAATATTTATATATAAACAGAAAAAGTGGATCCAGAATATTATGTTGAAATGGTGGTTACATCCACAATATATAACTCGATACAGTTAACATTTTTTTAAAATATAGGTCTTGAAAATAAGTAATTGGACTAAACATCTATCGACTTGATCATGTTCCTAATTTAATAAAATAAATTGAAGGTATTGACCTAATATATTTATATGTTTAGATAAAATATAATATATTTTGCTAACAAATGTTGCAAAATATGAATGCGTATTTTTGGGGATTTTGTGGTTAGATAACCAAAACTCAAAATTGAGCTTAGAATAATATATTTGATTGTTGGAATATTCGTATTTTTAAATAAACACTGAACAAACAAATTAAATATGGTCGATATTTAAGGCATTATTATCTTTTATCGTTTTGGTTAGCTATATTCACTTATAATTTTTTTGTTTATTAAGTGGCCAAGGATTATTATAATTATCAGGAATACTTTTATATGTAAACGTTTTGGTTAGCTTTAATTACTCGTTAGTTTTTGTTACTTAGTGGCTGCGGATTTTTAGGAATTATTAGGAATAGTTTTATGTGTAATTAGCAGTTATATTAAAATGTTATATTAAAGCGTAGGATTTTTTTAGGAATGTTTAGTTGGACACAAATTTTATCAATTGGTGATGATCCAGTTTTAATAGTATTTATAGTTGCTCAGCATTGTTCGTATAGTATTTTTAGGGGTGGACATACTATCCATATCCGAAGAATTTATTTGAATCCAAAAATAGGATCTCAACCTGGTCGGATTCTGTCTAAAATCCAAATGTGACCATTTTCCAAAAATCTGAAATATCAAAACATTACAAGAAAATGCGTCTATAACGAGGAAAAATTACAAAGAATATATTTCCTCGTAATATATTTCCAAATATGACTATTTTCCAAAAATCTGAAATATCAAAACACTACAAGAAAACGCGTCTGTAACGAGAAAGAATTACGAGTATCTTTCTCGTATCAACCTGGTCGGATCCTGTCTAAAATCCAAATGTGACCATTTTCCAAAACTCTGAAATATCAAAACACTATAAGAAAACGCGTCTGTAACGAGCAAGAATTACGAGAAATAAATTTCCTCGTAAAATTACGAGTTTATTACGAGTACTTTATGACGAAAAAATGTTGTAAATCGGATGTAAAATTACATCGAAACGTCTTCGTCGTAAACTTAATGTAACGTTACGACGACATTACGTCGAATGAGAACATTCGTCGTAAATGCGATGTAACTTTACAGGTGTTTTAGGACGAATTGCGTTACCGTTATACTTGGTGGGAACGTGTATCTAGTGTGATTTTACTTACTTAAACACATTGTAAAGGGGTTGTAAAGCCTATGTGACAGAGTTGTAAAAGCTTAGTAAAACTTTTCTTTGTAAAATCTTTGTTTTACTTTCACCTACCAAACTTGAAAATCTTTTATATATATATATATATATATATATATATATATATATATATATATATATATATATATATATGTCATTTCTCAATGCTAAAAACACAACAATGGATTCAAAGAAAAAAAAAATCTCAAAAAAAAGGCTGATGGATATAATATCTACAAGATACGGAGTTGGATGTATTCACACAAAGATTCTGTCGGTAGAGTGACGGATGCCTTTCTGAGCGGGCTAGAGACATTCATGCACCAGGCAGGCTCTACACCGATCACACAGAAAAACGGTAAGATGTCCTTGTTGAAAATGCAAGAATTCAAAATTTTCACTTAGTGAAACTGTATGGATCGAAACACTTAGTAAACAGAGAATTTACACCATATTACTATATTTGGTATCAACATGGAGAGAGTTATGGTGGAAATAAAGGTAGTAATAGTAATAATCATTTTGAAGATGCTGGTAATAATGAATAATCGAATCAAAATATGTTATTATATCACTCTTGTAATTAATGTTCTATACTACGATCACACGGTTCCAACTATTAAAAAAAATATTCAGGGAAGAAGAAATTTTATTTTGGTCCTATGATGGTAAACTTAAATGCCAAATACTATTTTTGTTAAATGATCATGTGAATATTTTAGCAAAATTTAACAACTAAATAAGATCTTGGGACTAGCTAACCGATATTTTACAGCTGAAGAAAATCGCGAGGATGCTGATTTGCGCGTCCTAGAGCTCTTACGGTTATCAATCTCTCTCACAACAATCTTACCCATTGTATTTCAGAAGAGCTCACTGAATTGGGCAACTTGAAAACTAGATGTTTCGTATAATCATCAGATGTACGATCGATATTTTCATTTAGGCCAAATGTTGTAGTCCTGCATGAGGACCTCGACATAAGATACCATATCCCTCGACCGGTTCCTGGTTCGTGTTATCAACATAGTGTTGCAAAAATTGTGGGTTCTGGTATTGGTGGTACTGTGATGGATTTGCTTCTTATAGGATTTGCTATTTCTTGTGCTTCAAGAAAAAGAAGGCATACCACAAGATGCATCATCAAACAATATTCTGGTGACCAAGATGCACTCCATATTATATAAGAAAATCTACATGTTGAAAGTGAAAGTGGACTCAGTGGTAGCCACACTCAGGTGGTATTGTGATCTCAATACATGTTTTGAAATTTTGAGGGACGAGCTGGACTGAGTCTTATCAACTACGCAGATCATGAAAAAAACACAAGTTAACAAAGGACCTATGACAAGATGATGGAAAGGCCATCTTGGATAAGAATTTGAAGATTATGTGCATGAAGTTTCTTGATGGTTTCCATTCAAAATTGTTGTGCAGCAGAAGTCAAGAATAAGGTTAGAATGTTAGTATCTGATAAGGCACTGAAGTTTCCATGTACGTTTAAGCGCCATGTGATTCTCTGGTAGTCTTGGTGATATACCATAAACAAAGTTAAGAAAGCTACTTGCAGAAATTAAGCTCACACAAGAGAAATAACAGTATCTTCGCTGTCCTTGGATCTTGAACAACAAACCAGCCATAACAACATCATTTTTTGGCACACAAAAGACCTTAGCTCCTCTTTCATTTGGTGACGAAGTTCAACATGTCTGATTGTGAGAAGACACTCACAACAAATGATTATGGTATGTGGTTCTCGAATTTGTTCAATTTTAAGTATGATGATTAGATAGATAGCGACTGTGTAGAAAGCTTGAGTGTTGAGAAAAACAGTTTGGAAAATTGCTTTCGCTTTGGGTCTAGTGCTGTTACTTGGAGTTCAAAGAAACAAGAAAACATGGTTTTTTCATCGTCAGAAACAGAGTATGTAGCAATTGGTGCAAACAGAGTATGTAGCAATTGGTGCAACAACGAGGCAAGTTTTATGGTTACGGAAGTTGTTAGCTAATTTATGTCTTAAATAAATTGAAGCTAAATAGCATTTCATGGCACGATCAAGAAGTTTGAAAAGTGTCACTTTGAATCAAGAGGAGAGTGTTGATTGATTTAAAATAAATCTAAATTTTAGGAATAATGAGTTTTGTGGCTAAAAGCTACGTGAATTTGTTTCTTAGTTATCATGATTTTTTTATTTATTTTTATTATCATAGGTAATGGGTCGTTATCTTCTTTTTTACATATTTAGTCATTTGTAATTTATTTTCTTAAGCTTTTTTAATCAATCAAACCTAATACCTTATAACTTCTTTAAATTAATATTCTAGCTATAAATTAATATACACTAAATTTTTTATAAAATAATATAGTTTTATAGTTCCAAATGCAGACAAAAAAAAATTTTACATTGAATTTTTGGTTTAATTAATATATGATAAATTAATAATCTTTATAAATTAATAAAAAAATTATAATTTTGATGTAATCTCAACATTATTAATTTATTGAGGTTTCACTATATCCAGTTTGAATCCTTTCTCTAAAATCTCCTAACATTGACCATGGTCATTACTTAAGACAAGACAAGACTTGATAATATGGTGAAGATTAGTGTCCATGAGCTCGTAGACAAGATACACATCTTTAAAGGTTCTTTTATGATTAACCATCATTACATCTTTAAGAGCAATCACATTCTCATGTCGAAGGTGACATAATAGCTTGAGTTCACAAAGTTTTCACAACGCATCGATCTTGTTCTCATGTAGATTGTGGATCTTCTTGATGACTACTCTCTGTTAACAGATGAGCAGACTACACCGCATCGATCACCAAAAGTGTCTAACAATAGCGTAATATCCGAAAAATATAATAAAATAGACAACAAGTGGACGTGCCGGAGTGGTTATCGGGCATGACTAGAAATCATGTGGGCTTTGCCCGCGCAGGTTCGAATCCTGCCGTTCACGTTTTTTTTCAAATAGTTTTTCTTAATACTTCTTTCTTTTTCTAGAACCACAAATCAAGGGAAAATTTTAACATAAATAAATGGAATGTTAATTTCGCTTCCCAAATCGAATATTTTGGCTCGGTCTGAAAATTGGTTCTTTAGGTTCATCTTCGAACATGTCTAGAATAAATTCGGGGGTACAGTAATGAGCTGTTGTTACATTAAGTTACATAACCATTATCAATATTGGTTATCAATGAAAATACATAACAATGGCTTAAAATAACACAAAAACAGCTGTTTCTGCTACTTGGATTTTGGATTCTGCGTCGTTAGCTTCTGCATTTTGGATTTGATTTCATTGTGGAAAGACATAAGAGATCTCTGCCTGCTAGAGAAAGCAAAGCTGATTTGCTTAATCTCTTCCTCCATCTCTTTCCTTCTCTTCATTTCCACATTAAGATCTTTCAAAGCATTCTCTTTATCAGATGCAATCACTCTCAACCTCTGAGTTGATTGAGAGACTGCTGCATCTAATGAATCTCTTTCTTCTTTCAGGAACTGTACTTCTTTTTCCAGCTTCTCATGGCTCTCTCTTGAAGCTTGTAAAAGCTGTTTATCCATAGACAACTTTTTCTCCAGCTCGTTATATCTTTCCTTGATGTTGCTGAGCTCAGACTTCAGTTTCTCCTCCATTGCAGCAGCTTCTTGTCCCTTAAAATCACATTCAAAACATGTCTTAGATATAGTAGTTTGACCACAAGATCTAATTAAATTAAACATATACAGAGGTTTCATTGGACTATAGTCCTAACAAGAGAGAGAAAGTATCCTAGCAAATCTATAGAAAATAAATAAAATTGATCCGTATCTTGATGAATGTGACAAGGAAGCTACCTTGTAGTGGGAGTTAAGAATTTTATTTTGCGCTTGTGCGTCTGACACCAACGATGAGGCTGTGTTCTTCAGACTCCCAAGGAGTGTTTCCCATTGATCAGATAAAGGATGCTCTACGTTGCTACCAGATTTCTGACCATCTATTATCATTGAGAATTGTGATTCTAAAGTTGAAAGAAGGCTCGTTGTGATTTTAGTTGCACCGAAGATTAGCTTTCCTGTTGGAGATTCTTTCTCACCCATTAATGTCTGACAAAATGCAAGAGAAAAGTCTTTAAACTCAAATGTCCTTCAACTGAAAATCATAAAAGTAAAATCACATAAGAAAAAGTAAGCAGTTTCACCTTCATCGTGACTATAACATCCTTGTAGACATCCTTGCAGTTACCAACTGACTCGAATAATCGTTTTGGAATTTCTTTCATGGGAAGCGTTTCTTGTTTGATCTCAGACATCTGTTCCATAAGTTTGTTGTTCTGAACTACCTGTTCGTGGAACTTTACCTGAGAATGCATAACAATCAGTTGGTATCTAGAAGACTAGAATATCAAGAAGATTGTCACCTGAGAGAACCCTCTAACTAAAATAGAAAGAGGATATTCACACATATGTTAAAGCTACATGAGAGAACTCTCCAAAACCAACAAAAGTCTAACCTGCAGACTGTTCTTCTCACTGGTCAGCAACTCAATCTGACTTTTAAGATCTTCAACCTCTTTGTGATTTTCACGCAAGTGTTCCTAAAAGAAAGGCAACGAAAAATTGTGGCCAACTTAGGGTACGTGTTTTAGGTGCTGAAATCCTCATTACAATATTCTTGAAAAGCATACATGAACTAGATACCAGCCAGTTTTGATAAAGTAGACTGTTTGAATGGAAGGTGATATGAAAAGAGACGCGAAGAAAGATACTAGAACCCCAAAGAAAAGAAGAATGAGAGTTGGCTTGACCATATGCATCCAAAAGTCTCTGTTCAATGTGATTCTGAACTATTGGAAGATTAAAGGAGTGAAGTAAACGTATCTACTCACCGCGGTTGCAGCAGTTAATGGAGTGGTTTGCCTTTTATATGCAGGTGTAAACTGGAGTTGATCAAGGTCTGCGACAAAACCCTTGTTTAGTTTTGTCCAAGTGTCTTCGTCGGCCACGTCCCCCAGTGAATCAACCATCGGACTAAAATCAGACAGTCCTGAATAATTTGACCGAGCAACCACAAAGGAACGTTCAGCTGATTTAAAGAAAGGAGTCCCAAGAACATCGCTGCTATCACTGACATTGCATCGCCCATCTGGCTTCCTTCTTAAACTAACAAAGTCCTGCCAATAAAGATGTTACCTTGACAAGAACTTTACATTACCAGAGAACATAACTCTAACACATTAGCTTAATAGCAATACTAACTTCTCTAACAAAATCAAGGATTGTGTTTACTTCAGAAAAGTGTTAGGGTGTAATGGTTGAGGATCATTCATGCAGACGATCTGTTTAAACCAATGCATGCATCTGTACCTCTGATTTGTTCGTCTTAAAGTCTGAATTAGTGACAAGATTGTTTAAGTTCTCAATTTTCAACTGTTGCTCCTTGATGCATTGCTCCTGCTCCTTCTGTTTTCTTCTCTCTTCTTCCAGTTGTGTCTTTAGCCTTTCACATTCTAGCTCATACTGGAAATCAAACAAAAAGGTCGTTGTTTAGTATTTTGTGCTTGCTCAATGTTCTATCGAATACATACACATGAGAAAAGCGCAAAAACCTACCTTAAGCATCTGATTGCTTAACTTTAGTATCTCTTGTTCCAACACTTCAGCATGGGATCCCTAGAAAATTTAGTAATGTTAGTATAGCCCACAATCCTAAATGTATTTTGAAACAAATTATTGATGATACCTCGAGCTTCATACGTAGCTCTTCTATCTCTGATTTTTGGCGTTTCAACAAAGCAGCATCAGTCAAGATCTGAAGCGTTAAAAAAATGTCAGACGAATAAAGAAGAAAACCAGCCAACAGGACACATAGATATAAGTGAGTTAAATCTCTCCTAAGAATCTTGCGCCCATTTACATGCTGACCTCATTGACTTGAGCACAGTTGGTGATGCGTTTGGCCCTGCTTGCAAATTGGAGAGTTCCTTTTGATTCCTCAATATGATGCTACACATGAGCATGCAAATTTGATAAGTCGATTGAGTAAGCTTGTATGTGGATGATTAACAAAAGCCAGGAAAGTGCAAAACCTGACAAAAAGAAAACTTCTTTTACCTCTTCGGGTGCGATAGTGCATATAATGCAAGTCTTCGCATTACCACCAAGCGCCGGCTGAAGAATTCGAGTGAGCTTACTGTCACGGTACGGAATATGTGGCCTATAATCAAGAAGAATGTAAGAAATGAGCTTAAGCTGTATCGTTGTTACTTGTAGCTATATGAAAGGGTAAGAGAGTACCTTAGCTTTGAACTTTCACTTAGCTTATTGATAACATTACCAAGAATCATTAAGCTCTTATTAATGTACTTCCCTTCTGTCAAGCGCACTCCACCAGCACCGGTTTTAGCAATACGCTCAGATCCAGCCAAGTCAACCAAATTCTAAATTCCATTAAAAGAACACCAGTAAGAGACTTATCACTTAATGTAGCTTCCACAAGAAACTTTTGGAAGATGGTCGCCCAAGTAAAAATTATCACTCACCAAGACTGAGACACGGATAGCATCCGTAGAAGAGTTTTCTTTTCCCCTGCTCTCAATCACCTATCCCACCAGAGAGATCAGATCAGATTATCAGAATAATCACTTACAACACAGTAGAAGTTTCCGTTCACAGCTTTGAAAACCCTTACCATTCTGAAGATGGTATGGGACCTGCTACTGTGAACGTTCATGTTTGTCTCACCAAAGTGCCTATTAACTGTTAATTAAAGAAGACCATGTCAACACACATTATGCATAATCAAAATACTTCTTAGTTTAGCTTTGGCTTAAAAACCTTCTCCAGAATCTAAAAGCTTTAGAATCTGTTCAGCGTCACTAACAATCTCTTCCTTAAGACCAGCAACAAACACTCCTCGCTGCACATCAAAAAGAAGCAAACGAGTTAAATCAATCAAAACTAAAAGATGTATAAATGCTCAATCAAAACCAACCTCCAAATGCTCATGAATCTGCAGTCTCTGGTTCTCAACAGCTAAAAGATCATTAATTTCTTCATTATAAATCTCCATATACGAAACCCGGATGAGAAACTCACGGTCCTTTATCTAAAGATCATCAAACACACCAATTAAAACTTTAAAAGCTGTACTCTTTTTTTTTTTGTAAAACGTCACAGATCACTACCGTTTGTATTCTTTCAAACACATCTCTGATAGATCTTCTAATAATCCCAGGATCAGTCTCAGAACCAGTCATTGTAAACGTCTTCCCACTACTAGTTTGCCCATAAGCAAACGCAGTACCTAAACAAGAAAGTAAACTCAAAATCAACCCCCCAAAAATCATGATTTCTGTTACTAAGGTTTTGGATCAGATTCAAATTACCATTAAAACCCTCAACAGCGGCATGAATAATATCCTTAGTAAGAAGTTCGTAGACACAAGCGTTCGTAGACCTTTCGTCGAACACATGATCTGCAAAAAAAAGACAAAAACACCACAAAGATTACAAAAGATGAGATTTTGAAGCTACACAGAATGGATTGAGAAAAAAGATTTGGTACCGAAAGCGTAAGAAGCGGTGGAGATTGGGGTGTCGAGTGACTTGTGAAGAGAGATGCGATTGTCTTCGACTTTCCAGAGGGAAGATCCGTTTTCCGATGAGGATGGCCTCACTCTGACAGCTACACAGATCTTCTCCATCTTCTTCTTCCCTAATACGAAAGTGCCGTTTGAATTTCAAAATCTCGGAATAAAAGATGCTTTAAGCATTTTTGAGGGATGTTTAAATTACTATACTGTCCTCTTTCTTTTTGGTAACAGTATCCTCTTTTTGGGTAATTTTATATTCGATTAATTTAGTCTAAAATTTAAATAAGACCATTTTCAATTTGACAAGTCACATGGATATTATTATATTCAACAAATCAAAACCAAAGAAAATATATAATCGAAATCGTTGTAAATATGTTGGGTTAATTATTTTAAAACCAAAATTAAATCATTAGTAAGTGTAAATAAACAAAGCCAAACTGAAAATTTAGTTTTTATTTGTTACAATTTATATTTTAAACTATACAAACAAGTCAGAATTTAATAGGTGTAATCTTGTAATATGAAATATTTTCGTAAATAAAAGAAGACATAATTGCACAATAATTAATTAATTATATTATAACTAATTTAACGAGATCAAAATTGGATTAAAAACATGGCAATGTTTGTTCGAATTTGATTTCAGTTTTCTATTATGTTTTGCTTTGTAATTGGTTATGTTAGTCGGAGAAGATGTCACCATTTTGGAGAACTTTCCATGATTAAAATTTTAGGTGATAACTACTATAGCCCTGTTCGGCGGAAGATCGCTGCGGCAGCGGCCAGCGGCCAGAATTTAGAAGAGAAGATAAATAGTTTAAAGAGGGAGAGAGAGGAAAAGATAGAAGGAAATCTGTGGTTTATAACGCAGTGAGAAGAAGGAAGAACAAAATAATGACGCTGCTTTTTTTAGCGTCAACCACAGCACCGGAAAGCTTTGATATTTCTGTCGCTGCGTCTTTCTTTTTCATTTTTGCGATTAACAAATAGCTAAATTATGAATATTTGTTTGACGCTGACGCTAGTCGCTGCGTTTTCTAAAAGAACAGGGCTTATATATTTTATGACTCTATGAAGTCATATAATATATATTTGAGATTCATATATATGAGCATATCAATTCTACAATCTCTAAATTCTCTTTCTTCCTTTTCAAAAAAACTATCAACAGTTTTTTTTTATATTTAGTCCTTACTCACGCTGGTATTGAAGACTCTCATTCTTCTTCTTTTTTTTATTTACTCTTTATTTTTTACCTTTTCTTCTCTCTTTTATCAACATGCAAACGGTTTTAGTTTGACGGGAGCTAATGAGTGAATCTTCTAAAGTTTGATGGAGCTAGTCGTAGGCCATATCTAGAGCAGCTATGAGACTTATAGAATCACATATGGAAAGGTTGGTTTTTATGGTTTTTGGACTGTTAGATTTAGTTTTCCTTTTTAAAAATCCACGATTGCTCCATTCTTAGTGACGGTTCATAACATGGTTAGGCGACCTTCCACCTCTATTCATCCACTAAGTGGAGGTTAGACAATTAGAATAGAGATCTAATGATTCCGTAAAAAGAGTTATTGTTCGGTTTTCGGAAGCAACATGTACCGAGACTCTTGTAATGAAAGAGTTGTCAACTAGAGGAGTGGACCTTGAAGACGCACATCTCTCTGAATGATTGTAATGATAACACTTATATAAATCACTTGGTAAAAAATGTTTAGAGATTATAACATAAACCAGGTTAATCCAAAATGAGAACGGTTAAAAACATCAAACTGAGTTACATTGTTAAGTTCAAAATAGTAACAAATTTTATATCAATTTCTCATTTTTTTAATCTCATATCCCTCATCACATTATCTTATTTTCTTCCAATTTTTTTTTAATGAATGTAAAATTTATTCAATCAAAACATTTTTACATCAAGTGCTACTATTTTATTTACATAGATAAGCCAATACTATGAAATGCAAAAAATCCCTTCTCCTTATAATCTTGTAGCCAGCCATTTCATCAACCCTTCTTCTAAGTATTTCTTTCCTTTCCCTTTCACAAGTAGCAGTTTTAGTCGGATCATTTTATCAACCATCTTGGCAAGAGTTTTCTCATCCAATGGTTGTTCACCATGCTTTCTAGCATTTCTCTCTCTCCATATACTATGTGCCAGGACTTGGAAAGCACAGCGTATGATAAAGGTTTCAGTTGGACATCTTCTAGCATGAGAAATTACTTCAAGAATCTCATCCCAACTTGTAGTGTAACCTTTCTTCAAAATACCGCCAACCATTTCTCTCCAAATTTTATTAGAATAATGGCAACTAAAAAACAGATGCTTACAGGTTTCCTCCTCTTCTTGAAAAAGGACACAAACACCATTTGCTGCATTATTCCATGATAATATCCTATTCATAGTCTGCAACCTGTTTTTAATGGCAACACAAATTAGAAACGAGTACTTAGATGTGGAATGAGAGAACCAAACACCTTTACTCCAGCTACATTCAAGTTGGGGCTGTCGGAGGCTTAACCTAGTCTTCTTCGTGGAAAAATGCTTAGAGAATTTATTGTCTGGTTATCTCCATAATGACATATCAGCCTCCTCATCCTGATTAGCTTTCCTTTTTTACTTTTTCAATCTCATTCTCCACTTCATTATGGAATTGAACCATATGTCTTCTTTTCCTGCGACGGTTGATAACATCCTCCATCAGTTCATTCTTCATAGTATCCAACGCTATGTTACCTCCTTCTCTTAAGTGATCTTTAAGACAATCTAAACTCGACCAGTTGTCATATCAGAAGGATGTCTGTATGCCACTATCTTCCAAAGTTTCTCTTTCATAGTTTTCATTTTTCCTTCCTACAAAATTAAATATATATGTCATGTGATGTACTCCACCTTCTAACATATTATTCATATTTTTCGTAAAATATTTATATCTACAAAATCAGATCATGAATTTAAATCTAAACTAAAAGACATATAACTTTACGTATATTTTTCTTTGAATATGCAAAAACTCTAAACTAAAAAAGTTCCAAAAGTAACATTACACTTGTTTATGTTCAAAGTTTTCGTTAATTTTTGTGGTCTTTATGAAAAGAGCAAATAATTAACATTACATTTATATAATTAATTAATTAATATATTCCGTTATGATATGTAAATAAAATTGGGCTTATTAGGAGTTAAGCCCAACAAACTCTTTAGTTTATATAACTTTCGTCGAAACCAAAAATCAAAACACTATTCTTCTCTCTCTCTCTCTCTCCCTTTCACCCTTTCTGGGGTTTTCTCTCCTTCGACTTCGTCTCTATTCGTAACTTGGTACTCCTCCTCTGCACACAACAGGTATCTCTACAAACACACTCTTCCAGATTCGTATTTAGTTCCTCTGATCTGTTTAAGATTCTGAGATTGATTACTTTCTTGTAGATGGCGACGCGGAGATCGGCAAGTATGCCGTCACGGTTGCGGCAGCTTCTTTCCGGAGAAGGATCAATCGGCCCCTCTATTAGACTCGACACTGAGCCTGTGAGTTCCTTGAAATTTGAATTTTAATTAGGGCTTTTTGTTCTGAGTGAATTTTAATTAGGGCTTATATCGACAGTTAATTAATCTACAACGTCTTGTTGTTTTCGTGTTACAGCCTGCGGAGATCAAATCGTTTATAGATAAAGTGATACAGAGTCCACTCGCAGATATTGCGTTACCTCTCTCTGGTTTTCGGTGGGAGTACAGTAAGGTATATATATCTTACCTACTAGTAGTAGCTTCCTTTCTAATATTTATTTGTGTTTGGTTTATTCTCACATGATTGATTGATTGATTATTCTTATTCCAGGGGAACTTCCATCACTGGAGACCTCTCTTTCTACATTTTGACAAGTACTTCAAGACTTTCTTATCTACTAGGAATGACCTTCTCTTGTCTGACAATATCTTACAAGACGAGGATTCCTTCCCCAAGTACACTGTTCTTCAAATTCTTCGGGTCATGCAGATCATTCTCGAAAATTGCCCCAACAAGAGTTCCTTTGATGGCTTAGAGGTATATACGCCTCATTCATTTGGACGATTTCTGATCTCTATGTCAAACAAACCTCATTAACTTATTTATTTTGTTTATTTTGCAGCACTTTAAACTCCTACTTGCCTCCACTGATCCAGAGGTTCTCATTGCAGCCCTGGAGACTCTTTCTGCGCTTGTCAAAATCACCTCATCTAAGCTCCACAAGAGTGGGAAGCTGATTGGATGTGGTTCTGTCAACAGCTTCCTCCTCTCTCTTGCCCAGGGCTGGGGCAGCAAAGAGGAAGGTTTGGGTTTGTATTCTTGCCTTGTCGCTAACGAGAGAAACCAAGACGAAGGTCTGACCTTATTTCCTTCCGACTTGGATAATAGTCACAACGAAGCTGCTTCTCGGATTGGTTCTACCGTTTATTTTGAGTTGCGTGGACAGAGAGTAGATGATGATGGCACAAGTGCTACTTCTTCTTCGAGGGTCATACAGATTCCTGATTTACACTTGAGGAAAGAGGATGATCTAGTGTTAATGAAGGAGTGTATAGAGCGTTTCAATGTTCCCGCGGAGCTCAGGTTCTCTCTACTGACCCGACTCAGATATGCTCATGCTTTTCGTTCTTCCAGAACCTGCCGGTTGTATAGCAGGATCTGCCTACTTGCGTTTATTGTGCTTGTTCAGTCAAGTGATGCTCAAGAAGAACTCGCTTCCTTTTTTGCAAATGAACCCGAGTATACAAATGAATTAATAAGAATTGTCAGATCTGAAGAACCAATCCCTGGAACCATTAAAACTCTTGCCATGCTTGCCTTGGGGGCCCAATTGGCTGTATACTCGGCCTCTCATGATCGAGCCAGGATTCTAAGCAGATCTAGCATCAATTTCGCTGTAGGCAACAGAATGATTCTTCTTAATGTGCTTCAGAAAGCCGTGCTGTCTTTGAAGACTTCTAGTGATCCATCATCTATTGCTTTTGTTGAGGCGCTACTTCAGTTTTATTTACTTCACATTGTTTCATCATCATCATCTGGAAGCACTATAAGGGGTTCTGGAATGGTTCCCACGTTTCTCCCTCTCTTGGAGTATACTGATCCGACCCACCTGCATCTTGTATATTTGGCTGTTAAAGCACTACAAAAGCTCATGGATTATAGTAGTTCTGCCGTACCTCTACTCAGGGATCTTGGGGGAGTAGAGCTTTTGTCTCAGAGGTTAGACGTAGAGGTTCATCACATTCTTAAGTTGACTGGAGAGAACAACACTGATATGGTAGTTGGTGGATCTTTAGAATCGAATAGTGATCAGTTGCGCTCCCGAAAGAGACTCATCAAGGTTCTTTTGAAATCTCTTGGTTCTTCTACGTATACTCCTGGAAATGCGAATAGATCTCAAAGTTCTCAGGAGAGTACGTTGCCTGCCACTTTGTCTTTGATATACAGGAATGCAGATAAATTCGGTGGTGATATCTACTACTCAGCTGTGACAGTTATGAGTGATTTAATCCACAAAGACCCCACATCTCTTACTTCCCTGTTTGAAATGGGCCTCCCTGAAGCATTTCTGTCTTCAGTTGTATCAGGAATACTTCCTTCTTCCAAGGCTATTGCATGCATTCCAAATGGATTGGGCGCAATATCTCTTAATAGCAAAGGGTTGGAGACGGTAAAAGAAACTTCTGCACTGCGCTTCCTTGTTGATGTATTTACTTCCAAGAAGTATGTTCTAGCTATGAATGAGGCCATCGTTCCATTCACAAATGCTGTGGAAGAGCTTTTGCGACATGTTTCATCTCTAAGAGCCACCGGTGTTGAAATAATCATTGAAATTGTGGATAGAATTGCAGGCTTTGGAGAGAGTGGTTCTTCATCATCTTCTGTAAATCCGACTGAGAGTACTGCAATGGAAATGGATTCAGATGTGGAGAACATAAATGCCGTCAGTCATGAGCAGTTTATTCAACTCTGCATCTTTCATCTGATAATTCTGCTCCACAGAACAATGGAGAATGCTGAGACTTCTCGTCTCTTTGTGGAGAAGTCTGGCATTGAGGCGGTACTTAAGCTCCTCTTGCGTCCTAGCATTGCTCAGTCTTCTGAAGGCGTATCCATTGCCTTGCACAGCACCATTGTTTTCAAAGGGTTCACGCAACATCACTCTGCTTCTCTTGCTCGGGCCTTTTGCACTTCTCTTCGTGATCAGGTGAAGAAAGCTTTAAAAGGACTGCAAGATCTCTCAGGGGTATTCTTACTTGATCGAAAACTTTCTCCAAGTTGTGGAATTTTTTCTTCTCTTTTCCTTGTGGAGTTTCTTCTGTTTCTAGCTGCATCAAAAGATAACCGTTGGATGACTGCATTGCTTTCGGAGTTTGCAAATGGAAGCAAGGATGTTCTGGAGGATATAGGCCATTTGCACCGTGAAATTTTATGGCACATAGCAGTTTACGAGAGTGCAACGCTGGAAAGTCCAGATGCTTCTCCAGAGTCGGAGCAAACAGAGGTGTCTATAAATGGGACAGAAGGACAAAGATTTAGTTCTTTTAGACAGTTTCTGGATCCTTCATCTCAGAGAAGAACGTCAGGATGGAGCTCGGAATCGCAATTCTTTGATTTGATAAATCTTTACCGGGATCTTGGACGTGCATCAACTGGATTTCAACCACGAGCCATCACTGGTGGTCCCTCCAGTTCATCAGACGTTTCTGGTAGCAGAGAGCTTGAAAAAGATGGATCCTATTATACATCATGCTGTGACATGGTGAAGTCATTGTCCTTCCACATCAGTTACATATTCCAAGAGTTAGGGAAGGCAATGCTGCTCCAATCTCGTAGGAGAGAAGATACAATAAATGTATCTGCGTCATCTAAGTTAGTTGCCTCAAGTTTTGCTTCAATCTCCCTGGATCACTTGAATTTTGAAGGCCATGAGATTGCAGCTGAGGCATCAAGTTCAACTAAATGTCGCTACCTTGGCAAGGTTGTTGACTTCATCGATGCTGTCCTTCTTGACAGGCCTGATTCCTGTAATCCTGTTATGATAAACTGCTTTTATGGACGGGGGGTGATTCAGACGGTTTTGACAACATTTGATGCTACTAGCCAGCTTTTATTTGCAGTTAATAGGAACCACTCATCTCTGATGGAGACTGATGATTTAAAAGGAAAGCAAGATGAGAAGGATGATACAGATCATGCGTGGATATATGGTCCGCTGGCTAGCTACGGTAAGATCATGGACCATTTGGTCACGTCATCGTTCATCTTGTCACCATTCACAAAACACTTCCTCGTTCAACCAGTAGAAAATGGGAATATTCCATTTCCACAAGATGCTGAGACATTTGTGAAGATCCTGCAGTCCATTGTGTTGAAAGCTGTACTTCCGGTTTGGACTCATCCACTATTTACGGAATGTAGTTATGATTTCGTTACTACACTCATTTCCATCATCAAGCATGTGTATTCTGGAGTTGAACTGAAAAATTTAGGTGGCAATGGTAGCGGTCGTGTGACAGGTCCACCTCCCAGTGAAACAACCATTTCAACAATTGTGGAGATGGGGTTCTCCAGATCCAGAGCCGAAGAAGCTTTGAGACAGGTTGGATCTAACAGTGTTGAGTTAGCTATGGAATGGCTGTTTTCCCACCCAGAAGAAATCCAAGAGGATGATGAGCTTGCTCGCGCTCTTGCAATGTCCCTTGGAAATTCTGAATCAGATACAAAGCAGAATGTTGTAGATGAAACTCAAGAACAGATTGAAGCAGAAGTAGTCTCACTGCCACCAGTTGAAGAGCTGATAACCACATGTACGAAGCTTTTGCAGATGAAAGAACCCCTTGCTTTTCCCGTTAGAGACTTGCTTGTATTGATATGCTCAGAAAACAATGGGGAACACCGATCTAGTGTTGTATCTTACCTTGTCAGCCGGATTAAGGATTGTTGTCCTGTCTTCGATGACTCAAAGAGCAATCTGCTCTCCGCTCTGTTGCATGTTCTTGCTTTGATTCTACATGAAGATGCAGGTTCCCGCGAAGTTGCGCTGAAGGCTGGTGTTATAAGAATTTTGTGCGATGTACTCTCAGAGTGGGATTCTGGTAGTATTGATAAAGAAAAGTTTCTTGTTCCAAAGTGGGTGACGACAGGGTTTCTTGCCATTGATAGGCTGCTACAAGTGGACCAGAAATTAAATACTGAGCTTATAGAGGAGTTGCAAAAAGGTGAGACATCTCTGGCCATTGATGAGAGCAAGCAAGACAAGCTGCAATCTGTTTTTGGCTCTCCACAGCTTGTTGATGTTGACGATCAAAAGAGGTTGATTGAGATTGCTTGCACATGTATCCGGAATCAGCTTCCTTCTGAAACTATGCATGCTGTTCTACAGCTGTGTTCTACATTGACGAGGAAACATTCTGTTGCTATCTGCTTTCTTGATTTTGGAGGTGTGCAAGGACTGCTTTCTCTGCCGAGTAATAGTCTTTTTCCAGGGTTTGACTCAGTTGCTGCTAGTATCATCCGTCATGTTCTTGAAGATCCCCAAACGCTTCAGCAAGCCATGGAATCTGAGATAAAACACGCACTTGCAACACTTTCCAACCGGCACTCTAATCCGAGAATCTCTCCACGCAATTTTTTGTTGCATGTGAATTCTGTAATTGCTCGGGACCCAGTAACTTTTATCCAGGCAGCTCGTTCTATATGCCAAGTAGAGATGGTTGGTGATAGACCGTACATGGTATTAGTGAAAGAAAAAGAGAAATCAAAAGACAAAGAGAAGGATAAGGACAAAACTGACACCAAGGCGGCATCTAAATTTCACCGGAAACCTCCTCAGTCGTTCATTGGTGTTGTTGAGCTACTTTTGGATTCTATCTGTAATTTCATTCCTCCTCCAAAAGATGAAATGGTTGAAGGGGATACTACTGTAGCAGACATGGATATTGATCTTGCCTCTACTAAGGGAAAAGGCAAAGCGGTTGATACTACACCTGAAGAAAAGAAAGCTAATTCACAGGATGTGTCCGCTTCATTGGCTAAAGTTGTTTTCATTCTGAAGCTTTTGAGCGAGATGCTGTTAATGTATTCTTCCTCAATCCATATAATACTTCGAAGAGATGCTGAAATTAACGGTCTTAGAGGTCCTCAACAGAAAAGTGCTCAAGCTGGTGGAATATTTCATCATATTCTTCACAAGTTTATTCCATACTCAAGGGTGAAGAAGGAAAAGAAATCTGAGAGTGATTGGCGGCAGAAGCTGGCAAGTAGGGCTAATCAGTTTCTAGTGGGCGCATCTGTTAGATCAGCTGAAGCAAGGAAGAGAATATTTTCTGACATGAGCAGTATCTTCAGTGATTTCATAGATACCTCCAATGCGCCTAAACCTCCAGTTAATGAAATACACATTTTAATAGATCTGCTGAGTGATATGCTCTCTGCTCGGTCACCTACTGGATCACATATATCTTCAGAAGCTTCAAATACTTTTGTTGATGCTGGATTGGTTAAGTCTCTTACTCGTACTCTTGAAGTGTTGGATTTGGACAATGTAGAATCTCCCAAAGCTGTAACAGGCATCTTAAAAGTCTTGGAGTTGGTGACTAAGGAGCATGCCCGTTCTGCTGATTCAAACTCGAAGGATGAAAATGCGAACAATTCATCTGATCAAATTCAAGCAGGAAGAGGAGATACCACTGTTGAAGCAGGGGAAACTATGCTTCAGTCGAATCATGATTCCATGACAACTGATCATGTGGAAAATTTTGGTGGTTCCCACACCTATGTTGGTTCAGAGGATGTGACGGATGACATGGAGCATGATCAAGGCTTGGATGGACGTTTTGCCGCAGGTGAGGATGATTATATGCAAGAAGCCGGCGAGGATGCCAGGGGGTTGGAAAACAGGATTGGGTCGATGGGTATAGAACTTGAGATGCATACCCACGTGCAGGAAAATCCTGATGAAGAGGAAGACGAAGAGATGTCTGGTGATGAGGGTGACGAAATAGGTGAGGATGAGAACGATAATGAGGAAGAAGACGAGGAGGACAATGACTTGGAAGAAGAAGAGGAAGAAGATGATGTACATCACCTACCTCATCATGACATTGATCAAGATGATCATGAGCTTGACGATGATGAATTTGAAGAGGAAGTACTGGTTGAAGAAGATGAAGAGGATGAAGATGGTGAAGATCGGGTAATTCTCAGGTTTGAGGATGGAGTCAATGGGCTAAACGTTCTTGATCATTTGGATGTTCTTAGAGATCATAGGTTTTCTGATGAAACACTTCATGTAATGCCTGTTGAAGTCTTTGGCTCCAGACGTCAAGGACGAACAACTTCTATTTACAGCCTTCTTGGCAGAACTGGGGATGGTGCTACTCCTTCACAGCATCCTCTTTTAACGGGATCTCCATCACTTCCAGTGTCGCAAAGTCAAACAGGTTCTCCTTTTTTTTGTACTTCTGTTCATTTTCCTTTGTGTTATGTTATATATTCTGCCATCTTATCATTTTATGCGTTTCTTAGAATATATCTTGAGCCTTTTATGAACATGATTTTGCTTTAGATTTGGTAAATTGGTGTATTCTTGTTAGTTCCTTTGTTATTCTTATCGTTTTGTTTGTTAATCGACCGTTTTCTTCACTTTTGTAGAAAGTATGCGTGATCTTACTGTTGGAGGTAGGGATTCCCACGGTAGTTCTTCGTCACGACTGGATGCTATATTTCGATCTTTGAGGAATGGCCGGCAGGGGAACCGTTTGAATTTATGGGCTGATGACAGCCAGCAAATTGTTGGATCTGGCGCTTCTACCGTACCACAAGGCCTTGAAGATTTGCTGGTATCTCAGTTGAGACGTCCCGGCTCTGATAATCCTTCTGATGAGAATCCATCACTTTTGGAACCTCAATCACAGGCTGAGAGTG